AGGCCGCACAAAACTTGGGATCCAGGAAATGCGGGCTAGGTGTGTGCGGGGGGGGGGAGGCTTCCCCTAAATCTAGAGGTCTTGTTTTTCTCCTGAGTTTGCCCTCAGCCAACTCATGGTACGTGCAGGGAAAGGAGCGGTTTGCTGCCTGATGCACCGAGCAAATGAGTCTTGTTTATGGCTGAAAAATTAAGTTATGTGGCTAAGACCTTGCTGCTCGGGTGGTCAAGTGTCCGGGCTGCCGCAGAAGAGCTGGTGAGGAGCGGCGTCAATGGCAAAGTGCTTTTAGCAGGGCCCTGCTCCTAAGGGCCGCTCTGATTCATCGGTGAAGTTCTGGTTCCTCCTGTTGTCATGGATCGTGCTTTTGTGTGTGTAGCTATTTATCGTTCTCCTTAATATTGCTGAGTCTCAATGGGTGTTATAAAAAATGTGCATTACAGGGAGATTTATTTATCTCCAACTTCTAAAGCTTGACCTGAGGTTAAGCCTTCAGTTAAGGAACTGAACTGAAATACTGTACTGTACAATGCTAAAATCACGGTTTTGGTGCTGATTATATATTTTATTAAATAGAACATGTAGCAGAACTCTATTCAATTTGTTCATTTTTTTTTCCCTCTGAATCTTCTTCTGATAATCCTAAGTCATGTCTGTTCATTAGGCTTCATGTGTTACACAGGTCAAAAATAGAATAAATGTTACCCAGTTGAAGAGGGAATTGGCACAACATGCCCTGGCCCTCAGATAAGCATTTTAGATACTTTGCAACTTTTGGCATAGACTTACTAAGAGTGTTACTTTCAGGACATGTTTCCTGCTCCAGAAATAAACAATCATTATAATATCTTGTGCTACACTTACAAATTTATTGATCTGATGAAAATCACAACAGAATTTATTGTTGTGATTATTTATTTTCATATATTCTGATTACATGTGACAAATCTATTAAACCTCTGTGCATATAAATTTTGAAGGGCAAATGTTAAAAGATACAGAAGGTGGGAACTAAAATTAATGCGTAGCTTTGACTCCATCTTTCTATTCCAGTGAGTTTGCATGTGAAGACTGCCTTTCCTGGTCAGACTGATAATGGCTGGTCAGCAATTTTAACTGGGTAAACTGAAGTGCTTGTGCTGTATCAGTGGATTAAAATTAGCCTCAGCTTTGGACATTCTGATCATTTGGGGTGTTACAGAAAGGTCTTGGCATAGTTGCTTATTTTCAAAAACTTTGTGTGGTACTAGTGAAATAAATTATTTAATTAGTATTAGGAATTTCTTTTAAAAATACCATTTACCAGAATGTTTGTATAAACATACTAGAGCAGAGACTGGTGTGGCAAGTGTTTAGGAGTTCCATGAATTTCTCATTTTATTATCCTACATCACTTTTTTTTTTTTGTGACCATTTTTCTTTGACTCGTAGCTTTCAGAAATATCTAAGATATTTCCTTTCAATTTATTGCGTGTATTTGTATAGTTCACTGTCAAAACCACCTTCCCAGTGTGAAAGCTGGGACTCTGGTTGAAGGACCCAGGCGGGTGCTGAAGATGCTGGCAGGGTTCCTGCTGTGGAAGCAACTGCTCTAAAAGAAGCCATTAGTAAAACTGATCTCTAGGCCACCGGTCTTGCAAATATAACTGCAGCTGCAAACAGTAACTGTGCTGGTTGTGGATCATGTGTGCTGATACCTCCCTCCAAAATTGCTATATATATTTCTAGTATGGATGTACTTAAGTTTGCTTAGGTCTCCTGAGGGTTAACTTTAGCAAGCCCTGCTAGTACAGGTTCCAAGATGGACCTGTTGCTCTGTCTAAAGTTGGGCTTGTGGTGGCAATGACGGTCAGTTAGAAAAATGGCAATCCCAAGCAAAATGTCTGCGAGACTATGAGGACACAAGGTAGATCAGTTTGAATAGATTATTAATTTGGAAAGACGAGTTTATTCAGGTTTTCCAATCTACTTAAAATAGCTGGGCTAGTTTAAAAGGGTAGCATTTTTTAGTTAATAGCAGGTTTCCTATTCACCACTGATGTTTAGGGTATTTTTGCATAATAAAATTAGATAGCTTCATTTTTGTTTTTCCACAAGATTTGCATGTTGTGTTCATGTGCATTTTGGTGGTCTCAATTATAGATTCTGTAGAAAAACATCTAAATTCAACTAGCCTTTTTGCCAAATAAAATATTCTTTAAATAGATTTTCATTTATTTTTGTTAAAATCCTGGATTGCAATTTTTTTTATTAAAGTGACTATTTTTACCTCTGATCCTTTCAGAATATTGTTTAACATTTTACTATTACATAGTAAATAAATGTGAGTATAGATGGTATTACCCTATTTTTGCACTTTTCCCTATATACCTACTTTTCCAAATAATTCTGCTGATTAATTTGCACTATTTGCATTAGTTGTGTATTTGTTTGAGAGAATACTATGTTTTATCTACAATGTGATGAGCTGCCTTTTTTTTTTGTGGTGTTTGGCAATAATTGTTGTGTCACACATTCTGATTCTCTGCTTTGTGGATCTCTTCAAATATATTTTTGAACTTAGTTTTTATTTTCACTGCCAAAACACTCTTTGACTTCTGAAGGAAGATTGAATCCCAATAATATTAATTTTGGAGACAATACAGGAATATCATAAATTAGTTGTGGATTTTTTTTTTGTATATGACGGCTGTTGCCTAAGAAGTTGGAACTGATTTTTTGTGCTTTAGGCAAGAAAAAGAGGTATCTCCAAAGAGTTGGTTTGGGGGGCAGTTCAGCCCAAACTAAGGTTAGCTTCATTTTCAGTGTGCTACAAGAGATGTTCCTATTTCTGGGTCAGCTATTAAATTTACCAGCATTAAGAAAAATGTGAGGCCCCAGTCCTGCCTCATGCCTTAACTGGACTTTACAGGGGGCTCCGTAGCTCCACATTGTTCTTTTGGGTGATGATTGATCTGGGTGTAGTAACAGGATCTCGTACACTTTTTGAAGGAAGAATTGTTCAAAGAGTATTATCAAGTCAAACCGAGCCAATGAGTTAAAATTTTAAAGACAAATTTTTGCAAATCCAAAGATATTTGAAATAGTATTACAACTTAAGTAATCTAAATAAGATGGTTTTAAAAAATCATCCTTTTCAGGAATTTGTGACACAGAGAGGTCAGCACTGTGAAACAGAAAGTGAAACTGGCTTCCCTGAGGTTCTTGTACTTGTGGGAAGGCATTGGAAATTAGTAATAATCCATCGTGTTTTTAAATACCAGAAAATAATTACTCTCGTATTTGCACTTAGCAAGTCCAAGTTTTAAATTTACCAACATGGTAATAAGATGTCTTCATTAACATGACTATTCAGGAATGTTCAGATCTTTAAAAATGAACAAATATTAGAACTGCTTGCGGAATTTTAATTATATTCATGTTTTTTTCTGAATCTGATTTTTGAACTAAAAGGGCTAAGACAGTATGAGGTGCAAAACTGCCAGAGAGAAAAAAAGTGTAATTCATACATTTGTTTTTTGGTATTCAGTCTTTCCGTAAGATGTTTAAGGACAGAAGAGTTGTGTAAATATATTTCAGAAAAATGAGGTTAAAAAAATTGATTTATCTGATTTATTATGTATTAAAGTGGTGCTTCTGATAGTCACATAGTGGCATTTCTGTTATATTTTTTGGATGATCCTGTTTTCATCATGGATATGTTACAGCACTGGTGCAACTTTGAACCATGCCGTGATGATCAATACTATACTACAAATTAATATTTTAGATGTTATTGAAAATTTAAAAATAATTACAAGCTTTCTATTCCATGTACTGTTTTCCATCTGCTTCCTTTTTTGTTTGTTCTTTTTTTTTCCACCTCTTTAGCCTTATGTTTTATTCTTTGTGTCATTGTCTATAATATCACATTCCACTTTGCTGTCACGTACTGTACGTTTGCTTTCTTGTTTCTTGTATCATGTTTCGTCTATTTGGTGAAGACTGCTTCTCCATTTGGGCGTTCCATCTTCTTGCACTTCGTGTCAGGAAGACCAAGATCCTCTGTTGGAGAAAGGAGCCGATAGGAAAGAGACTCTTAATAATATCCTAAAAGTGGCATGAAACACACAGATTACCTGTTCCATGTCCTGGTCTATGGAGATCAGGTTCCTGAAGGAAAGAAGATTAAGTCATAGGAAATGGCAGAAACTTGATTTAGTAAATGGCTCTCCACTTCTTTTGAGGGAGGATTGGGAATGTCAAGACAAGTTGATGCTTCATTCCTCCTGCTGAGTTTCTGCCCATGGTGTAGTAGAGCTGATGCCCGCCTTTTTCTGTGCTTGGAAGAAGGATGTCTGCCTGCCTTGCAGGAGAGAAGGGAGGACAGCGGAGTCGCCACAGAAGTGAGACAAGATGAGCAGTAGGAATGAGCTAGGTTTGATTTTTGGAATCTGCCCTAACAAGGTCTTATGTTGTTGGTATCTGTGACTATGACTAGGAAGGAGGAGGTTTTGTAACACTGTCCTGTCAGCAGCTGCGTGACAACTTACATGGAAGGAGTTGCCACTGTTTGTTGCAGTCATGTGCCTGCCGAGCCAGTCTCGGAGGCTCTGCATCTCTGGGTTTTGCAGCAACTAATGCACCTAGCTATCGTCTTTTTTCTATTCTCTTTATTAAGAGACAGGCAGGCAGAATTTCAGGAATGTCTGCATTCGACTCTCTTTAAGAAATAAGTTTATTAGAATACAGTTTGTAGGTGAATAAGATCAATTCATAGTTCTTTTAATCTGTCTCCAACAAAAAGTGTATTTTCTATTGTATATTTACTGTCAGTCTTTAATATTTGAAATGGTGACACTTCCCAGTTATATTTACCAGTGGAATAGTTCTGAAGGTGCTGTCACTGTCAAAAACATTTGGCTTGTACTTAATGGAAGTACATTCCTTAATTTTAGTTGCAACTCTACCCCTTGATCGTTCTAAGCTATATGTTTGTATTGCGAACAACAAGAACAGAATCATTTGCCCAGTATTCACATTTTTAGTTGGGTTATACTTATCTGAGTACTTAATTTTTATTTTTGTCTTAAGGCAGTTCTTCTGCTCTGCTTAATTTATATTCTCACAATTCAGTGTTTTTTTTTTTTTTCCACATACTCAAAATAATGCTAAGAATGTAGGTTTTATTTTGATTCTTAAAGTAGAATCATAGAATGCTTAAGGTTGGAAGGGACCTCTAGAGGTCATCTAGTCCAACCCCCCTGCACACGCAGGGTCACCTAGAGCACGTGGCACAGGACTGCGTCCAAGCGGGTTTTGAAGATCTCCAGAGAAGGAGACTCCACAACCTCTCTGGGCAGCCTGTTCCAGGGCTCTGTCACCCTCACTGTTAAGAAATTTTTCCTTAAGTTCCTATGGAATTTTGGATGTTTCAGTTTCCGGCCATTTCCTCTAGTCCTACCAGTGGCCACCACTGAAAAGAGACCATCACCGTCCTCTGCACTCCCTCCCTTGAGGTATTTATATACACTGATTAGATCCCCTCTCAGCCTTCTAGTATCACCAGTAGATTGAAGAGGGATGTACCTAGTGACAGTCTTCAAAGAGAGCCAGACCAGAGGAGCCAGAAGACCACCAGACTCTGATCTCTTTGAAGACCAAACTGGTGAAAGCTGGTGATTCGCAACGTGAGAAGCTGCCCACTGATCTCTTTCCTTGTCCTTCCAGATACACACAATTATTTTGTTCTGGTAAGCCCTTGGCAATGGGGGCTTATTTTCATTTATCTATTAGTCTATATTGTATTTATTATGTCTGTACTTTTTTCATACCATTCTTGTCTCCACTCACAATTTGTCTCTGGCAGATAGGTATTCTCTTTTCTTTATAGTCTTCAGCTTTTTCTTTTCATCAGCTCTGAAGTGTAAGATACACAAATTTAGCAGAATGTTCCAAGCAAAAATGGCTCTCAAATGGCTCTGCCTGCAAAATGAAGCTACCTGAGAATATGGAAGAGGTGTTTGTGTATGGGACACCAGCTGTTGAAAAGTTTTTAAAAAGTCCCAAAATATTAGGTCATCAGTTGATTATTTCTTAATTTATTTTGTCCTTTTTTTGTGATGTCAGTATCTTTTTACCTTTACGTTACCAATCAGACCCATCACCTCTGTTGGAGATGGGTTGTTTTATACATGAATTTTGTTACGATCTGTTTTGACTGTGTTTAATGCATGGAAATAAACCCTGTTGTTAGAGGGCACTAGCTGTAGTTAGTGGTGTCTTTGGCCATAACATACTGTCTTCAGATGAAAAGATGGTTAAACTTCTTGTGGTATTTTTTTCTTTATGGCTACTGCAGTAAATGATATGAAATACTTAGATTAAAAAAAATCAAATGTATTTATTTTCCCTTTTCATTCCGTCCTCATTTTCTGTGGTAGAATATTTTCTATGATAATGAAACTTGGAGGTGGACCATGACTGTTTTTCTGTCTCTGGATCTTAAAGAAAAGATGCAGAAGAGTTTTGCCTCAGGGATGTCGAGAATGTGACATTTGTACCAAGACTTCAGTTTTTGTATCTACGTATAGGCATTGCAAATAGGCATTGAAAGCACAGTTATTTTAGATGTCCTTAAATATTTTATAAACACTTGTTTGCCAACTTCAAGTTTACTTTTATATATTTAGTTACAGGACATTTTCTGCTTGCATGTATTTTTTCCCTTAATTTTTATAGGCTAAAAAGGGCATACACAGAAAAAGGAAGTTGTGTAGTGGGAGCAAGAAAGGAAAATAGATTCCTTAAAAAAGAAAAAGACAATTATTTTCTTTCTTAAACTTACTGTGAATTTTAGACTAGATTTGGGAATTACCAGAGTCCTTTCAACTCCTATTGTATGCAGTGGCAGCTGAGTGCTCTGTATAAATAGGAATTATTGTGTTTATTTCCTTGGAAACAATACAGACGCATCCAGTAAGAGGGTCTCTCAAAGCATTGTTAACATTTTGTGATCGATGTGTAGAGATTTAATATTGTGACTTAAAAGCTAATGCACTTTTTTTATGGTAATGGTATTGTCCTTATGAGTCCTCATGAATACTTTAGTATTCTTCTTTACCTTGTATTGGAGAAGCCATTCTGGAAGTTTCAGTTTATAGCCTGAATTTGGGCTTTAGAGTTCAAAATTCCAAAGAGAGAGGGAAGGAAAAAAAAATCCTTCCATTTCCTTTATATGGGTAAGTTTTGACATCTTCTTGGGACAAGTCTGGAGAAAGGAATGATTCAATGTAGGAAGTTAATACTTATTGTGAACAAGACGAACGCGTGGGGCTGTGGCAGAGTGTGCAGTTGCTTTCAATGCGCTCCAGCCTGCTTTAGGCACCTGGGCCAGTGACTTCTGCTCAAGCAAGGAAGACACGCAATAAACACTTGGACTGGAACTTACCATGTGTCAGGCCCACGTTTGTAATGGGCTCATGTTTGGTTAGATGATTGAAATGCTGAAAACCAGCCTGGACAGGGACCCGTACAACTTGCTAGTGTTTGATTGTCCCTTTTATACTTCCATCACCTGCCCCCAGTACTGTATGTCTTGTGTGTGCAGTGGTTATCTGTCACAGGTTTGTTAGTGCATGAAATTATCATTTGTCTTGAGTGTGATATGTCTTAGCTATTATGAAAATCTCCAAAAGATAAATCTGCATTAAATTTCAGCAATACTTTTGAATCGTGTTTGAATGAAAGTGCTATAGAATCTCTATTTGTATATTATAGGAAGAAAAGGCTTCTCTCCTGCATCGTACTCAGGAAGAAAGGAGAAAACGGGAGGTAAAGTAGAAATAGGGGCTTGGAATGTAAGCATTTGCATGCATCCTGCATTTTTCTTTGATGCAGTAATATTTACAATTAAAAAAAATCTTTTAGTTGTGGTCTAGTCTTTGTGGAGAAAAGATTGCTATTTGGCCAATAGCTTTGTTTTTTTTGATGTGTCCCTAATCTCTTGCTATAGTCTTAGCAAACCGTTGTCCACTCCTGGTTCTGCTGGGGTTTGTAGGATGACCTTCAGCAAGTCATTTGCCCAGGTTGTACTTCAGTTCTGCAAAAGTAAAATCAAGGCTGATGCTTCAGCGCAGTAACATTGCAGTGCAAATACCTGCAGCAACTTCAGCCTCCTAAAAGCACGTTCTGCAATGGCTTTACTTTTTGCTGAGGTCAATTTTTTCCGCCCCCCTTCCATTCCAGGTGTACTAATATGGAATAAGCTTAAGTGTGAAATTATTAGGGTTTCACTTGTTAATTCAGAAACTTATGCTATGAATTTTCACTAAAATTTATGATCAATGAGGCCTTGCAAACATATATGAAAAGACTCTTCTATGCTTCAGCAGCTCTTTGTCAAATATCAAAATAACCCATTCTTCACAAAATGAATTAAAAGTCATTCTGTATAAGACTTTTTTTTTTTTAGGATGACTTCTCTGAGAACAAAATTGATTATGGCTTTTTACAAAAGGCCTGTAGCAGAATCTTACCAGTGACCTCAGCCCTAAAACCACTGCAATTAGGGGTCACTAATTGACAATTATATATTCTAGGAAAAAAAAAATCTAGAGAAAAGGAGAACATACCTCCTTTTTACATTGTGATGATAAAATGACAGGGCCTCTCTGTAATTGAAACTGCCCTCTCCTTGCCTCATACTTCACATTTTTACTAGATGCTTAGGAGAGAAAAGTATCCCTCAGCATAATGTATTTTTATTTTGGTCCGGACTATAGGGACAATTAGAGAATTTTAAGCAGGAGCTTATTTATATAAGTTGTTATGGGAACCTGGTTTTCCTGGCATAGTAAAACAGGCATTGGAGAGCAATTCAGAAACCTTTGTGGCGTTCCATTGGCTACTTCAGTTTAAGTTCTTGACCATGAAAGTTCTAGGTATCTGTTTGGCACAATAAATTAGTAATCAAACTTTTGTCACTTTACAAGTAGCATTAAAATGTTGGAGAAGTTCACATGAACTTCCAAGACAATTTTTTTGTTGTTTGTTTGATGGCCCTCAAAATTATGAGCTAGCTGACTCAGTAAACTTTACAGATCTTAAAGGTCTTCAAATAGAATTTGTTATCTCAAGGCAGGCTTCTCTGATTTCACTCTTGATCTTCCTACTTTCCCTTCCTCAGCCATTGCTTCAGAGCTTTAAGTTTTGTTAACAACAATTTTATTCACTTCCTCTTTCATCTCTTAAGAAACTATATGGACCTTGTTATAAACCTAATTACAGTGGCCACTTCCCTTAGATATTTGTCATAATCAGATATGTGGGATGTTGCCAGGTGGCACTCTGGGTGCTCTTCCCACAGCTCTGAAGTAACTTTTTCTTCACTTCCTCAGAAACAGTCATTGTGAAGAGATGATTTTTGACTACAGTTTCTATCTACTGAGGAAAACTCCATAAAATGACTCACTTTAAATGTCCTTTTAGAAGGAGACAGCAAGAATTTTGATTAATTTCTGGTTTATGTTCCTACATTTTCATTTCAGCAGCAGTTTTGTCTCCAAAAAATTGTCTTGGGGCATCTGAACTGTACCAGGTACTGCTGGTACATTATTGGAATGGAAATAGCTAAGAAGGTCTTCAGTGTTGGCTAATTTGTGCAGTAGGGAGAATAGTATCTTTGGGTTTGACCTACTCTTGAACCTTTTAGCATTATTTATTTTTCTAATAAAATGTTAGTGTGTTTATTTCTGTAATATTACATGCTGATGATCAAAAATTCTTATGCAGTAATGTAATGTTTAAATTTATACTTAAAATATGAATTGCACTATCCTTTGTCATATGCAAGTTGAATGCAAAGCCTCAAGTGCGTTATTTTACTTATGGCTGGCACTTAATTTTCATTAAAATTATTTTTGGATACAAAGATAACTGATAAAATTGTAGGTATCAGAGTTAGGCTTTATATTATTAATTTTGATCTTTTTGTTTCATTTTGCAGGAAGAAAGGCGGAGGCTGAAAAATGCAGTAATAATCCAGTCATTTGTAAGGGGGTACAGGGACAGAAAACATCAAGTAAGTATTTTTATGTTTATTCAGAAGAGAGTAAAACAACTTTGCTGAAAAAAAGGACTTTCCTGTATTAGAAAGTTTCATTGAAAATTTTTCCTTTTTAGTGTAGTATGTGTGCTCATGAAGTGCAAGATCCTTCCTCCAGTTGCCTTGTTTTCAGTTGAGACAATTTTTTAGTAGGTGGTCACTTAGTTGTCAAACCGTGTGTGTATGTGAAAGTAGACTTCAGTGGAATTGCTCTTTTTTTTTTTTTGAGTTAACAAAACTTGAGAATAGTTTGATATTCTTGTTTTTCGTTTACGCTCCAGGGGAACAGGGCTCTCTAGCAGAAATGAGATGATAGTTTGATTCAAAAGCATGATTTTTTTAAACTGATGTCGGAATAGTTATTCTGGGAAAGGGTTGTTCGTGTTTAAGATTGCTAATATTCGTGTTTAAGATTGCTAAATGAGATGAAGTTACGTAATATGATAGTATTTATTTGAAAAGCAACAAATTTGTTGTAAAGTGTACTTTCTGAATTACATCAATTTTGTAAATTTGCGTGTGTATTTCAATCTCTTAGCGGCTCTATGTGAAATCCCTTTTATTACTTTGCTGTCATTCAAGATGGGAAACCAAAATAAGATATTAAAAATTTTGCGTCTCTGTTTAATTTAGAGTCATTACTGATGTGTTGATGCATATCTTTTCTTTTGAAGTACTCTATCCAAAGAAGTGAATTTGATCGCTGTGCTAATTTGGCCCAATCCGGAGGAACCTTTTCCACTTCTAATGGAGCTAATTTGACCCTTTTAGTTCGTCAGTTACTCTTTTTTTATAGACAGAATGAGGATTCTAAGCGTTTGGTAAGTATTGTTACTTACTAGTTTAATTCCCTGCACTTTTTTTGCATCCCTTCGTAACCTTCTAAGTGAAAGAGGACCTAAAGAGACTTTGAACTCTTTATTAAAGCCATTTTAAAATCATGGATATCTCTGACCTTAATTCTTCTTTGCTTTTTTGTTATTTGTTTAAACAGAATAATTTAAAAGATATTTTTATGTGCATGTGCAGGTGTACACACACACATGCACAGAGTCTGTGAAATGAAGCCTTGAAAAATCATTTCAAATAACAGGAAATATAATAGGCATAAGGCACAGTAATGTATTAAAGTAATATACCTCTATTAGCTGGAAAATATTGATAAAATTGTAATTTTATTTCTGTGGTCATACCTGAGGTATTAGGGTTTTTAATTCTTTTGCACTGATCAATAATGCTCTTATATTACTTTTGGAGTCTCGACAAGCCTCCAAAATATACTAGTAAAAATGACTTAATTGATATTAAAAATGATTAAAGAGTTACGTCTTTTTTTTTTAAAAAAAAAAAGAAAATTATGAGAGAAATTTATTCCCATTACAAAGTTATTTGTAAATAATAACACAGAATAAGACTTTCAGTTTTGTAAAGCACCCAATGGTAGTGTGTTACATATATGTACATATTGTATACATACATTTATGTATATATAGTGTAATGTGATTATAAGTAATATACTGTTTTTGTGCCTGGCAGAACAAGGCTAAGATATTAGTGTATATGCTGCAGTATTGCTGTATGTGTTGAAAATTGGTTTTATGCAACACTGAAACTGATTCTAGGGTGCAATTGGTGCAGCTGAAATTGATACCAATGTATTAAAAAAAAATCTATGCTCTGTTAAAACATGTTGGTTGAACGAGTTTAGAAAAGAAACTACTAAAGGAAAATAAGGACAGCAGACAAAACATTGTGATCATCATGCAACTTGTGGAAAAATAAACTATTGTATTGTTGGTTAAGTCAGGTGTACTTAAGGAGAGTGTAATAATTAGCCTGTTACATATTTGAATTTCGGCTAAACTTGTGTATATCTTTTCTTAGATATGGATGTGTCAGAATTTAATTAAACAGAGTTCTCAGTTTGTTAAGCAACTGGATGGTCCAGACAGACTTACTTGCTTATTCCAAATAAAAAGACTGTTGGGGCTGTGTTGCAGGTAAAGTTTTTTTTTTCTGTAAAATGTTATTTAAGAATGCTCATAATGATATTGGATTTTTTGTTTTGTTTTTATAGCAGCTGAAGTATGTACTAAATATAAACTTGTGCAGAGGATTGTTAATATTAAATATTTGTTAGCCATAGTTTATGGTAGCTATTCCTATTTTAAAAGAATGGAATTTTCTTTAGCTCCATGGACTTTTATGAAGAAGCCACTGTTTTCTGTTAATGTTGAGGATTCTCCTGGAAAATTTTTGCACTATAATCACTGAAGCTTGTGATTTTGTAATTGTTTATACGCATGAACAGTGGTCCTGGGCACTCAGGTAGTCTTGAGAGGCTGGCTTCAACTTCCACATACCCTGGAACTTGCTGTGGTGTCGCTGGGGTTACTTGTACATTTTCCCCACAGTTGGAGCTGTGGTTTGTAAATGCAAGTGTGGTCGTGTGCCCTCTCTGCCCTCCTGACTGGGTGATGTAGGGAGAGGAGGGGAGCAAAGGGTCTGCTCCTTCAGCACCTGGGTAGCCTGGAGGAAGAAGCTCTTTTTACATCAGTGGTCCAGTGTGATGGTGGGTGCCCCAGCTTGCTCTCTGAGCTCTTCTAATTAGCTGCAAAACCCCCAAATTGAGCACAGACATCCCAAATTATTCCCCATGGGTAAGATTCATGAGAAACTATGGTGACAGTATGTAACATCTTGGCAAAAATGATGGTCTGAATGAAGCTACTTCTGCAAAAAAAATAAAAAAAAGGTCATCTTGTCATTGTGTGTCTTTTCTGTTTAGTGAAAATAACTGTGGTGTCAAAATGATTTTTGCTACTGTATGGCTGTGTATGTGATGACAGGAGAAGAAAGGGCATTGTCCAGAAAACTATCCCTCTATATCTGAAGTATAACAAATCCTGTATTCCTAAAGGAGCTCTTCATCTGCACCATTTCTGTGGTTACAAATAGTTGTTTCACAAAAAGTTTGCTAAAGGTTTGGGGGTGGTTGTTTTATAATACTTGAGCCTGTGATCGGGATCAGGGATGTGTTGGAAAAAAGACTCTTGTGTTCTAATTGGTGCAGCAGTCTTACAAATTTGGAAGTCATTGGAAGCAAGTGGTCAGTAGGATTTAGAGAGATGTGTGTAGAAACCCTAAAATCGGGAATTATAGTGGTGCAAGCGACTGCTGAAAACAAACCCAAAATAAATAAGATGAGGGCAAACATTTTTGTAGCTTAATTTTAAAACATGCTTGCATACCTTTGCTGATAAGAGAAATTTCATTAAATAACTTTGCTTTAATTTATAGGCTATTGCAAAATTGCAATGATGACAGTCTGAATGTTGCACTTCCTATGAGAATGCTTGAGGTATTTTCTTCTGAGAATACATATTTGCCTGTTCTACGAGATGCTGGCTATGTGGCATCATTAATTGAACAAATTTTGCACTACATGATTCAAAAAGGTGAGTATCCAGGAACTAGAAGTTCCAAGAGATGCCTAAAAATGGAACAGAATTTGTGGTGCCTGAAGACCATATTGTTTAATCACATTTCGCCTTTACTGCAGACAAGATGAATTATGTTAAATGCTGTAGATCCTACCCATACTATACACTGATACTTGATTGATTTACAAAAAAAAAAAAAAATGATGCTTGAGAAATTGCTGTTTGGTTTCTTCGGCATTTTTGTTTATAAATTGTATGTTTACCAGATTATTATTCAGGCTTTTACAACAGAGTCCAAGTTGTTGAGTGTTACCTAGGAGAGGTTTGTTCTAGCAACTGCTTTCTGTAGTTGAGTGCGCATGCACACACTCTTCCTGTGAGGTCGGAGCTTCAGTTGTGTGAAGGTTGGCTGTTCTTCTGGAGCACTTCTCCCTGTAACTGCTAATAAGCATCGTTACAGTAAACTGGCATTAATTTTGTATCCAATTAAGAGTAGGTAGAGTCACCTGAGCAAAGAGGTGATGAACCAGCTTTTATTTCCCTTGGGTCATCTTCAAGCTTCAGCAGAACTGTTTGCTAAACTCTTGTCAGCTACACCTGTGCAAACCTACCAAAAGTTAATGAATTGTGTAGTTATCACTGAAATACTGATTTGTCTACAAGAACCTTTATTACTCTTGGGATGTGTGTATTTTTTAAAATGTTTTTCTGATGTTATGGCTTGGTTCACAAGACTGGTAGATGGAGCGAAAAGACAAAAGGTCTATAAAATAAACATGTTGATCCTGCTTCAGTGGTACAAAATGTTAAAAGGGCATTTTCAAATTCGTTTGTTAACTTCTTGGAGTAATTATGTATTTTAAAAGGTGTTAAACATAATGTAGATGTAATCCACTGATTTATCTTATTCTGCTACTAAGGATCTAGTTTCAAGTTAGTACGTTTGGAGTTACTCTATTACACTGGCAAAAAAAAGACTTATTACTGCAGCACATTTATTTTTACTTGCCTAGGTATTATCTAAGTTATAGCAGTAAACAATGAAGACAAACACAGATGCTATGTGATTAGTGTATCTTCCAAAATACTTCTGTATTTGTTCATTTAATATAATATTCAGTCCTTACAGCAGACATATGAAAATTTATCAAGATGTTAAATTCTAAATTTTAGTCAATAAAAATCAGCTTTCTAGAAATTTATAATCAAAAGACTAGCTGTGTGCGGCAAAAAAATATACATCATCTCCTAATAATCTATGATGTTGAAGTTGCAAAGAATGTCTAATCAGCCTGTGTTAATATAACAAAGGGTCTTGGGGTCTCTGCATGGTTCAGCACTACTGACATTTACAGAGGTTTCTGTAGTAGTAGAACTTGTGTCTCAGAGTAGAAGTTAATTGAGCACAAGGACATTGGATTAAGGAAGAGTCAGGTGATTCCATTTGTATTTTAGTGAGATGAAAAATATTTTTCTGACAATGGCATCAGATAGTCATCTCTACATGTCTTTGTGGTATAAATGTAATGTAAAATGTAAAAATACATTTTATTGCTGTGCAAGATCCTTGTTTTGGGAGCAGTAGTTGTGTTCTTCAATCTGCTGAAGGTACTTGCAGAATTGAAACATTTAGCTATAAGGTGTTGTCATGCTTTGGAATGGAGGGGAAAAAAACTTGTAATTTCTGAAAAGATGGAAAATGAGCTTTCAGAAACAAGACTAGAATTGCATAGAGGAGAAAAAAACATTTTCATAGGTTATTGTTTAAAAAGATCAACTTATTCTGTCTATCAGCAGGAGTGGTCTATCTTGAAAATCAAACTTATTCTGCATGTACCTATTTAGCTGTGATTTTTATAAAAGGATTTTTCAAAAGATATTGCTTATATATCCTGTTAGTTATGTGAATGTGAACTTGACTAACTCTGCATTTTAAAATATTTTCCTAAGTAGAGTTTCCTATAATGAATACAAGATTTTGTAAGCTGCAAATTTTATGTATATAAGTTATTCTGTAAGCTTAAAAAATAGTATTACCATTAAAAAGTGGGTTTTCTTATTTGTAGGCTACTACAGGTCGCTTTATTTGTTAATTAACAATAAGCTTCCATCAAGTATTGAGTATTCTGATGTTTCTCGAGTCCCTATTGCAAAAATACTTCTGGAGAATGTTCTGAAACCGTTGCACTTTACATATAGCTCCTGCCCAGAAGGTGCAAGGTAAATAAAGCTAATACTACATCTTTGTATACTTGTTCATTAGTTTCAGAGTTGCAGACGTTGTTGTTGGATGTATGTATTTTTTAATATAATATTTAATATACTATTGTTGATTTATTTGTAGGGGTAGTGATCTTTTGGGTAGTGTTGTACATAGGCAAAACAGTGTGGTTTCAGGTATGGTTAAAATGCAACTATAAAATGCTGAAGAATATAGTAAATGGATCATAGAGAATAGCACATATCACAATGTGGGAAAGCAGAAATAGAAATAAATGAAGTGTAAATGAGACAAACTGAGGTTTATGAAAGTAAACAATAGTCATAGCTTACAAGGAGAAAAAGGCAGGTATGTGGAAGGAAAAAAATCAAATTTTAGTTATATCGGATATGATAGTGTTTTGTTTTGAAGTAAGCTTTTGGGTTAAAATATATTTTTAAATATTTCTATAATTTTAAGATTGTAAGTAATGACCTTTTACTTCAGAATGGTTTTCTATGAGTTCATTAAAAGTTTAAAGTTATATATAAGATCATTGGGCGTGGGAAATAAGTGAATTTTTGAGAAATTCAATAAATCCACTCAGTTGGCCTAGAGTTAACTCAGTTTTCTTGATAGACATGTGCAAACTTGCACATTGATGATTGGATATACTTGTGAGAAATCCTTTCTAAAAAGGCATTTTTTTTTCTTTATTTCAGGCAGCAGATTTTTACCGCCTTCACAGAGGAGTTTCTGGCAGCACCTTTTACAGATCAAATATTCCATTTCATCATTCCAGCGCTTGCTGATGTGCAGACCATTTTCCCTTATGAACTCTTTCTGAATGCACTATTATTAGCAGAAAATGGATGTTCAATAAAAAGTGATCAAGCCCCATGGCTTTTTTATTTTGTTCTAACTGTTGGAGAAACATACTTGGGTAAGAAAGTTAAATGACCTATTTGTTGGGTTTGTTTGTTTGTGTTTGAGTAGTATGTAGCATGTGTATACATGTATATATATTCTCAAATATAAATAAAAATGTATATAATGTGGCTCACCGATGAGCGAAAAGGACGGTATGTGCATACAAGTGTTGGAGAGAGATCTGTTTTATTAGCTGCTCTTAATCTTTTAATGAGAACCTACACTTATCTGGAGAAGTTTAGTATTCTGTGTTTTGGTCAGGTATTTCTTGTAAAATATGTTTATCTTTGGTAGAGTGTGATCTGGTTAATGGTCTTATTTCCATGCATTTGCTATAGGATCCCTTTCAGAGGAAGGACTTCTTGTATATTTGAGGGTACTCCAAACTTTTCTTTCTCAGTTGCCCGTGTCTACTACTGGTACAAACTGTCAAGATGCAACCAGTGATTCTGAAGATGAGGATGAAGAGATCAGTAAAATGATAACCACACCAGTAAGCAGTACAGCATTTCTTTGAGTGAATTTTTATTATAGCAACAGCAAAAAATAGGTAAAATCATGAGCATTTTAAGTCTGCTATTTTTATAGCTGCTTGTAGAGGGAAGTATGTTTACTTTGTTCTTAATCAGAATTCTTAAAATACAGGTAGTGTGACTTCCAAAGGATAGAGCTTCATATTTTTAAGCCCCTGGTGATACTAGGTTATTATGAAACATGCTGATCTGCTCTTCCAACTTTGTGTTTTCATTTTTTCCTCATGCAAATACCCTATGTTCAAATTCAGGCTTTATCTTACAGTCTTGGCTCTCATTTTAGATAGCTTGCTACTCTCAAAACACTCAAGGGCCAGTACACCTTATTTCTGTGATAATGTATAGGGACGGTAGTTATAAGTTGCCTTTTTGAGTGTACTTTGAAGATACAGTGTAACTTTCACCAATAAATTGAATCTATACTACCTTTAACATCCTAACACTCAGATCAAGGCTTTAAACAATGAAAGCTGGAGAGATGCCAGTCCAAGAGCTTTTTACTGGCCTTCTGTAAACTCTCAAAAGCCAGTGGCCATTCACAAGTCTCATGCAGCGTGCAGTCTGTCCTTGTGGATTGTGAGTTTTCACCAGATTTTTGACCGGTACAAAAATAGTTTAATTATCATTTTCCTTTCCCAACTGAGTGGGAAACTGCAGATCTTTTTCTTGAGCATTTGTATGCCTTTGTGTCATTTTCTGGGTTAAATACTGAAAGCAAGATTATACTAGCTCTTCTGGGAGATACTGTTCCAAATGTATTCCAGTTACAATTCCATTAAATTTCCTGTTGTCTCCAAAAGATACAGCATTTTTAAGATTAGATATTGAGAATGACTTCTAATCAAGAACCATACTGTGTCTGTGGGTGAATACATGCAGTTTTTTATTTGTACACTTTCCAGGCAATGTGGTATCATTGGCCAGAAAGGTTTACTGAATTAATATGAATAGACTGCTTAACAGTGCATTTCCCAAAATAAGAAAAATATATATATATATATATATATATTTAATATGATTTATTTAAAGATTTTTTTTAAATCAGTAAAAAGGGCGCAGCAGACTTTTGTTTGATTTGTTTACAGGGTGATGGAAGAATATCAATTCAGTATATAACTGAGGAGTGTCTAAAGAAATTGGATACAAAACAGCAAACAAATACTCTGCTGAACATGGTCTGGAGAGATTCAGCCAGAGAGGAGGTCTTTACCTTGATGGCATCGATCTGCCACACGTTAATGGTGCAACACCGAATGATGGTGCCAAAAGTCAGGCAAGTAGAATTAGTAAAAATTATAGTAGACCTAAAGTGGGTTGCACTACATAGACTTGGTTTGCTGTTTCCAGTACTCTGTGGAGATTTTACTGTTTTGTCTCTTTTATCATCAACTGAAATAAATTGTAACTCAGAAAAGAATTCCAGATATATCGGTGAGTAGATGTCTTCTTTTGTTCGTTATGCTTCCTGCTCATTGTGCTCTCTCTGGATGGATCAGCGAATCCAAAGTTGTAAGTTTTTAGTTTGTTTAGTGTGTTGCAATTAAGCTAATATTTTGTCACCATATTGAGTATTGCGGAACAAAACGTGTTTGTGATCAGAAAAGCTCAGGCAGATAGCAAGGGCAAAGGTTCTGGAAGTAATTTTCCCATCCTCTTGCTCAGAAGTAGTATTAAGTGTAATGAAATCATTCTTGCAAAAGTTCATCCAGTTTATTTTTAAAACTTTCAGTGCAAAGGAATCCATAAACTGTCCAGTTATCTGTGCTCTGAATACAGGAATTCCAAATTGTTCTCTGAGCCTTTTATTGTATAACTAGAATCTTTCTCACTACAAATTAAAAGAATTCCAAGCTGTAGGCGGTCTTTGTTGTTGTGTAGGAAGGGTTTTGGAATCACAAACAAAGGTAAAAGTTTGGCCCTGTTCATTTTCATAGCATTCTTTTACCAAGGTTGCAAAATGCAAATGTCAGTAACAGTGGAAGAAAGTTTTTTTTTTTTTTTTTTAATCTTAAAATCAAACTAAGACCTGCAACTATTAAAACTTGTGTGGTGCAAGTTGTTCTGAGTCAGTATATAGTTGCTGGTAGTAAACTAAGTATTTAGGGAATGTTGTAAACATAATCAATGCAAACTGCACTGTAAACACTGATACAGAAAACTAATTAGGTGCTGTCCTAGCCCAATGGTGTTTATGGCTCCTCGAGGAAGTGAGATGTCAGTGAAACTGTGATTGCTTGATTAGGGTAATTAGTTCTTTGTAGACTAATTGCATTAGAGCAGGATGTGAGACCTGAAGATTATAGCAGCAGTTGGATTAGAGCGCCCGCTTTATTGTTGCAAGAAGCACATTGCCTAGGATAGTAATTACTGAATTTAAATGCACCGTTGCCTTGACTTGAGATTTACTGGTGCGCTGCGTGGAAAGGCTGTGCATGGAGGAGTCACACAGGTGGGTATGGCAGCCATTTCCTCTGAGATGCTGTTTTAGGCCTCTGTAATAATTTGTGATAACAAGCTAGTTATGCATTAGATAAACTTCAGAGGTTTCTCAAGCTGCAGTGAAATTGTTTTCCATTACAACTTTTGAATAGTTCTGAAACAGTAGAATCTACCTATTTTAAAAGTAAGGCTTAGAAATATTAAGATTTGTATGATTAATACCAATGAAAGTTTTTATCTAGTTAAAATTAATCCATACAGTTATTCGCTAAATTAAAGCAGTTCTGAATAATAAGCCAATGGTAAGTGTTCGGTTTAGCAGGCCTAGACACATTCTTAGGCATCAGTCTTTCATTCTGCTCAGTCCCTCTTAGACCTGGACTAAGTTTCTGAACATTTATTCAAATTTTTTTTTCTGAGAGTTTCATAAATAACATTTGATGCTTGATTTAAAGGTAATAAACATTGCGCAATTTTGAAAGAGTTATTTTTTAGCTTGTTTGTTTCCATAAATACTTTATCTCTCTCCTCTCACATGTTTTTCAAATTTAATGATAGCTCTGGGAAAGATGCTTTGTCTTTTTTAGAGCTACCTTTAAATAAATTAAAATATTCAGAGTAAACTGAAATATGAAAATTAAATCGTTTTAATACCTTAGTTTAAGACTTCATTTGTTCATTTACTTACTTTTACTGATAATTCCATTCAAATTCACAACAGTAATGAAAAATAAAACACTCGGATTGAAAATTTTCAGAGATACTAAATTAAAAAAAAAACAGAAAGACAGAAAGACTTCGATAATAGAAAGGAAAATTAGGTGAAATTTGCACTTACATTAGGTGAAGTTTTGGGACGGAGGAAATGCAAATAGCTCTGTATTTTTATAATAGTCTTGAAGGTTGCCTTCCTTCTTGAGAAATGTTAAGCAGCTCATTCCCTCACTGCTGTCACCCTGTTGAAGCAGAGCACGTTTTCTTCTTCTGTATCTTGGTGATTTGAGTGACTGATGGCTGCTGCTAGAGACCACACGAGATGGGAATAAGTAGCCCCAAACTACAAGAATTTCTGTAGTTTTGAGGAGAAAGATCAGGCATCTATAGCTCCTCTTTGATTCTGTGGAGACTAGTAATGGATTTTGCCTTGAAACATCAGTAGTTACCTTTTCCCCAAGCCCCCCCTCCCTCAACACATACTCTGCTATTATAATAAACATACTCTAGTTACCCAGAGAAAGCCTTCTCTGGCTGAAGGTATTCTTGGCCTAAATGGTGTTAGGTTATCTTAGTTATATTGTTTTAGATAATGCAAAATATTTACTTAATTTTTTGTTGTTCAGTTGTTTTGAACATTCCTTTTGTTTTAATTTTGTAGAATTCTTTTTTGTTTGATGCTATGCTCTCCAGTTGATGACTTCTCTCTAAACAGTGGTTTTTTTCTTTTTTTTTCTCATCTTTCAGTTTATTCTTTTGTATGTCCTGTGTGCCTCCACAGCTAGGCACAGGTTTAAAAATCACTCTTCTCTGGTGTTACTTCCTGCTTTTGTGCTGAGGACTTCAAGCCCTCAATAGGGCTTCAGCATTAAACACAGTATGACTGTGCTTGTACTCTGTGACTTTGGTTGTTATTTTAGCTGTCTGATTGGTGTCCCAGTCTGATTGTTCATCTTGGTTTAACAGTTTCAGTGCCAACGCTGACGTTCGGTGCCAGGTGAACAGCCTGTTCGTGTGTGTGGTGAGATTTAGGCTTTGCCTAAGGCCATGCTAGTAATTTTTTCTTTTTTTTAAAGACCAGAAACAGTATATTTGAAATTCTTACATTTTTTAAAGCTTTGCTGTGCATTCTTCATCCAATATGTGTTCTAAGGAGACGGACAGAAGCATGAGGCAGTGTGAAGTGCAGTGTATATTCACCTTAATGCATCCTGCCGCGCTCTCCTGCCTGCGCCACCTTGAAGAAGTGTGGAAACCCTCTGCCCTGGCAGCAGCGACCTTCGCCAGGCCGCGTGAGCCCCCCTCGTGCTGTTGTATTCTCTTCATTAACTTAAATGGTCTCAGTGGGAAACTGGGCCCAATTTATGACCTAGACTGAGAATCTTGCCTTTAACTAATTAACTTGTAGCGGTGCCTCAGCTAAATTAAGCTTAATGGCTCATTTAATCTGTCCCATTGCGCAGGAGGAATTTGACACTTTTTTTTTCTTTAAACCAGAGGTGCCCAAAAATACCTTTGTGGCAAATACACATAAATCATGTGGCTTTCGTGAACAATCAGATAACTGCAGAGAGAAACTGGCCAGTCATAAATGGCCAATATGTTCTTATTTTTGGGAGCAGATAATTTAATTAGTACGATTAAAATAGATATCTAACAGAAATTATTGCAGTGGATTTAATTCTAGCACAGCTTCTGGCAGCTTTGTTTTCCAGCTTGAAATAGAAGCTTATACTTTTCATTATTTGAGGAATATTTTTCTCCAAAATTAAAATACTAACTCTGAATATTAAAACTTATCAACAAATCCATTAATGAATCTATTATGTAAACCCCTGTATCATGACCTCATAGTAATGAAACTGGTAATATGCAGTGAGATTTTCAAGAAAATGCAGAAGAACGAGGGGGAGACTCTCAGGATTTAATACTTAGTTTCGTATTTGTTTTTAGAATAGTACAGATAATTGAATATGATCCACTGAGATATAAAATACAGAGAAATAATATGATTTCTAGTGTATGTATGTGGATTTTTTTCTTTAAAGGAAAAAGTGATCCAGGTTGTGTGGATACTCCAGCTGTAGATTGTTGAACTGATTTTTAAACTTGATGGGTTAATAATTGCTTTTGATTATTACTTCATGCTGTATCATTTTAATGTGGTTTTGTTTGGATATGCTCATTTTTAGCAGGTGCACCTTTTTTTTTCTTATCTTGCCAAAGACGGCCAAATGAAGTAGATTCTGTCCTATTTTAGTTCTCAAAAATGTCTTTTTTTGAGTTGTTATTATTTCTTCTTTTTTTCCTTTCTTCCATCTGACGCTGAAAATATTGAGTGTTTTTCTTTAATCTTCTACTCTAAAAGCTAATTTCTGTGCTTAAGGTATATCCTTTTTCAGTGGATAAGCTAGTGATAAAATTTTTGTTGGTTTATTAGGCCTTGCGTGTTTAATAGACAATGCCACATTTGTTGTCTGAGATTCTCTTCAGGTTGTATGAATTTCTCTGTTTCCTGTTCTATATATATTGACAAAACAAGCTGTATCATTGGATCTTGTACCACATCTGCACCGTGCACGTAACCTGATTTTCAGGGAAGCGCGCTCTTCCCAACGTGAAAGTTGAATGTATTCGAAATTTCTGGAATCAATCCATGGAATGCTGCAGGTGCTACAATTGACTGCCTGAATCACTGATACAGAATAAAAATGGATAAGACTCAGACAAGGGTTATTATTCCGAGCTCTTAAGGTTTCTTTTTTTTTTCTTTTTTTTTCTTTTTTTGATTCGTTATTGCTGAACATTTCTAGAATGAAAAAAAATGAATTACACTATGATGGATTCAGTGTCCATAATGTTTGTTCATTTCTGCTAAAACTATTACATAATTTCCAGGGCCGATTGTAAAATTAACAAGTTTTTACTTGGAAACCCTATGAGACCTAACGGCACTGTGCCAAATTACTTTTCATTTCAAATATGAGGCTGAGAACTGAAGGTCATTGAAGAAATTGTTCATCTTAGAAACAGAGACATCCAAGCCATCATTTGGATACTTAAACATTAAAATAGGAATCCTGATTCTAAATTAGCTTAGTCTAATAAGCCCTTCCTTAAATGATAATGCATACTTTCCACCTAAATGTCAAAATAATGTGAGTCTAGAAAAGTATAAAGGAAAAAAAATGATCTTTATGTTGATCTTTATTTTTTTCTCCAAGTTTTAAGATAAAAAAATTACATACTTAAAATATAACTTAATTTTAAAATAAAACATACTTTAAAAGATTCTGAAAGGCTCCAAGAGCCAGTAAGCTAGGATCCAGAAGCATGTGTTGCTGTGAAATGTTTGTGTGTGAGTGTGTGAGTGCACAGGTATGTCTTTTGTTTTTAAGCCTTGAATGAATTGCTGCTTAAATCTATTTCAAGTGTTTTTGAGTATTTGTTGCATATTTCACTTTTCCTTCGTGGTGAAACGTGTGCTTCATGCCTTTTGCTGTCTGGCATATTTTCCTTTGTCCATGTGGTCCTCAATAAATACTGTTTTCTCAAGCAGACCTTCCAGTCTCCCCACTCTGCTCCCATTTCCCAGGCTCGAGTACAAGGAATTTTGGTGCTATGAGGCTGTTGTCCTCTGAGAGGAGGCAGGAATTGAGTGTTAATTTTCCCATTTTTAATGTAATGGTAATTAGGGACCGTGGAAAGTAGCATTTAGAATTACCGGCTGAATATACTACTTTAGTATCAGAAAAAAAAATAGAACTATTTGTTTTCTTAGAAGGCATTGTATTTAAATGATGTTACATATCTTGCTTCCTGTTGGGAAAAGGGATTTGAGGAGATCTTTTAATTCCGGGAAGCTTTTTATTTCTCACTTCTGCAAAAAGATCCATTAATCATGTCCAGAATAATCTAATTAACGTTGTCACTGTTTATAAGTGGTTTGTGACCCTACGCATTCATTTTTGCATATGTTGTATCAACCACTTTATGTCTACGGGTGGATTAATTTTTGAGGGGGAGCAGTGATTGCGAGATGAGGAGATAACTTGAATTATTAGCACAGACGTCATCCCCCCTGAGTTGTAACAGTGTCTGACACTTGTGTGTATATAAACACTTATTTTCACACACACACACACACACACACACACACACACACACACACACACACACACACACACACACACACACACACACACACACACACACACACACACACACACACACACACACACACACACACACATACACACACACGTGAAATTGTTATATAAAAGAACTGTTCCTGAATAAATGAATTTTAAGGTAGTTATTTGACGTAGGCCAAGATTATTGTGTTTAAAGTCAGGTGAATGATAGAAGTAACTTACTAACTGGCTGGAGTGGTTTGCTACATTAGAATTTAAAAAAAAAATGCCAGAAAAATAACTCAGATTTTAAGGTATGTTATATTTATTGAATGTGTGGTACATGGCTTTAGCAGATAAAATGTCTCTGATCTTTCTCTTTCAGACTTCTTTATAGTTTAGCCTTTAACGCCAGATTCCTGCGGCATCTTTGGTATTTGATATCTTCAATGACTACCCGAATGATCACAGGGTACGTATAGCACCACTGCAGAAACTGAGTTGTCACTGAAATGGAGCATCTCTGGTGCAACCGGAGTGACACAGTTGGTAGCATGGTGATGGCAGTGCAAGATAATTGAAAGCAAAACTCTCATGTTTTACTTTGTTCCTTTTTCACTGAGGCTTTGATTTCATGAAATGGAGCAAAATTTCAGGAACTGGCCTGTTGTAAATAATTACAAATTTTAAAACTTTTGTCTTAAATAATACAGCTGTTGTTTTTGGATTGCTTGCTTGAATCAATATAATAAACACTGAAAATAAACAATATTATCTCTTGATTGAAGCACTCTGATTAGTCCCAAAATGAGTGGGAGCTGAAGAGTGCTCCCAGGAACGGGGAGACATTAAATCTACAGATTTGCTCCATGCTGATATGCAGATTATTTAATCCCATTTGCATCAGGGGTCTGCTCTAAAACAGAAAAAAATGTGCAGTCTGTTACCAGTGTGCAAAGTTAACAGTGAAGTTACATGTAAGCTGATGTGTTTCAAGGCACAGAGATGCTATAGTGACAGGAACCTCTAAAGAATAGTTTATTTTGTAGAAGTGAGACATAATAATTGTTAAACAGAGAGCAAATTGTCCTTATTTTGTTTTATAGCTACCACTTTTTAGTAGAATGCTGAAGTTAAAACTTTAAAAAGTGAATAATTATCGACCACTTATTTTTTATTTTATATTTTAAGGTCTATGGTGCCACTGCTTCAAGTGATTTCAAGAGGCTCTCCAATGTCTTTAGAAGACTCTAGTCGAATTATCCCTCTCTTTTACCTTTTTAGTTCTTTGTTTAGTCATTCACTTATTTCTATTCACGATAACGAATTCTTTGGTGATCCTATAGAAGGTGAGAGTTTCAAGCTTACTAAATAGCAGAACTTTGCAAAATGTTTTTGGTTAAGGCTGCTTGAAGACAAGCCATCAGATTTTAAAGAGTGCTGGACAAAATTTATGCTGTTCTTTTGTTTCTGCATGGTTCCCTGTCAATAAGGAAGGTTGTTGCCCACCTCCTGGTTTTCTTAAAAGGTGGAGATTCTCCATGCAATGGCAACATGGCAGTTCTAGAACAGGCATCCTGGTGTCATCCCAGTTTGCCCAGACCTGCTCAGCAGCAGCTGAAATTTAGAGCTTTAGAGCTCCCTGGGCACTGATTTGGTGACATCTGTGGGGGAGGCTCCTCGGGGCTGATGCGCTGACAGGCCCTGAGTGCTCTGCTGCCAGCTGGTTCATTCATGAGGATTGCATTTAGAAAAAAAGGAAAAAATGATGGGCTACACCTTGGGAACCCCAGCTGTACGGGGTCCAGTGTGGAAGTTCTTATTCATGATGATTTTTAATTAGTTAGTGAAATTCTTCTGAATTGGGTTGGTAGACTAACTGAAATATTAACTTAGGAGATGAAAAAAAAAAAAGAATATTGTAATTAAGATCACAACAGCTTCTGACAAATTATAAGTGTTTATGCATTATTATTTTTTTATATGACTTCTGTGTCTTTGTGTTAGAATTTCTGTTAAATAATAAGTGTTGTTAATTGCAAAATGATTAGAAGTGGCACTTGAAAGAAACATAAACTTGTGCTTTATGTAGTTGTAGGTCAAAGACAATCATCAATGATGCCTTTTACGTTAGAAGAGCTAGTAATATTGTCACGCTGCCTTCGGGATGCATGTTTAGGAATCATCAAGTTGGCTTACCCAGAAACAAAGCCAGAAGTCCGTGAGGAATATATTGCAGCTTTTAGAAGTGTTGGAGCAACAAAGAATACAGAAATGCAGCAGTGTATCCAGACGGAACAAAAAAGATGGATTCAATTATTTAAGGTATGTCAGTGTTGGGTCAATTTTCAAAACAGATTAAAGTAACATTTTCAGATTTCTCTTTGCTGATAATGAGACATCAGGTACTTTTTTTTTTTTATGGACTTCTGTCACAGTTGTTACCAGAACTCTGATTTTGACATATATGCAATATTCAGGGTCATTTAACTTTGATAAATGTGATACATTATGTTTTCTTTTGCATTTTGTCTTAATTTCATTTTCCTGCTTATCATGTTTATAAAGAAACTGCTATAAAGAATATTGTTTTTAACTTGACCTCCAATTCAGCAAGGCTCTTAACTTCATAAAGTTAATCATATGAGTGAGTAATGCTATGATCCCAAAAGTATTTTAAACAAGTACTTTGGTGTTAGAGGCTTTACTAAATTGGTCCTGTGCTGCTGCATGGTTTTCGTTGCTGTCGTACAAGAATATTCAGGTCCAGCTCCTTTGTGGCTCGCAGGAATACCAGTGGGTGATGGATGAGACTCAGCAAATGCAAAGTTGATGTATTATGTTTCTAGGCACCTAGCAATGTATTTCTACCAGTTTTATCCGTGGCAGCCCACGACATGAGTTAAGGGAAGCTGAAAATATTGGCAGGAAAAACCTCAGAATAGAACTATTGCTGGAAAGAAGGGGAGTGCTTGACTTGTCATGAAAATTCTGCAGCAAACACATCTAGTCAGCTAAAATTGCTCATTAAAGAAGTGGGAGCAGGAGAAATGCATTTTCCAAATTGAATGCTAGATTTACAGTCCGTTTAATACTGGCGACCTCTCGCACACTAATGTTCAGTTCGAGTCATCAGCTGTCCCTTCAGGTCTTTTATCACTGCTTTTGTCAAGCTATCTATTTAATTGAAAGAAGTTAATTGAATGAAAATGATCAACTAAGCTTGTATTAATATTGCTAATGGAACTTTCTTCTTGGCCATGTTTGGAGAAAGATGTCATGCTAGACTTTAGGAAAGGCCCATTAAGGCTTGCACTTAACCTGATGGGCTAATTAAGGAATGCTTATTCATTCTACAAGGCTAAGATAGCCTCTATCCAGCCTATTCTGCCTGATTTTACAACACATTTCACTTATGAGCATAAGCATTAATAGCCGTGAGAGTAACTGATAATGTTTTGATTGCATCGAATACAGTCCTAATGCACCTCTGAATCTGTAATTTGCAAAGATGGATCTAATATATGTTTGCACAATTTAATTTAATTACTTGTCTTTAAATCACCAAATAAACTTTCGATTTAAAGGTCACAAGTGAAAAGCCTCAATATGTCTATTCTTATAAGCAGGACAGCATGCTAGGGGAATTTTTATGTATTTATAACATACCATCCTCTGTTTAGTTTATCATGTTTAAGCAGTACTTTTACTAGCCGCTGGCGTTTTGGATGTGCTTGATTATATTTGCCTTTATTCAGGCAGGTGAGTATAAAACCCCAAGTTATTCTGTCTCACTTTGGCAGGCAGCTATTAAACTCTTAGAGGAACTGTCTAAACTTGGTGTATTCTCAGGATTTCCAGAAGCCAGAGGTTTCTTCCATTAGCTGAATTACAAATGTAAATCTTGAAGATCTCTTAAAGACTCTGTTTCTACTCAGAAATGTAGCAAATAACAAAGCTTCATTTGTTAAAAATTCAGTGCAGCTAAATTCACCTTGTTTTATTGAGAAGAATCCTGTCTTTCTGATGTTCCCTGCAAGGGTGCTTTTTGCCAATGAATCGGCAATATCATCTTCCACCAAAAAATGGAAAGAACGCTGGGATAATCTGCCATAAATTTAAGGCCTTAGAGGAGGTGAGGCTTTTATTTCTTGCATTATGTCAAAGACATGGCAGATTTCTCTTCTAAAGCTGTTGCTCCCTGCCTGGTGAGAGAAAGGCCCAGTCCTTTCCTATGATCTCGGCTCTTAATTTCTCATGCTTAATTTACCTGTCTTCCATAGTGCTAGTGTCTAATGAAATGCATTCCCATATGTACAAGTCCTGCTGGGGTAAGGTAGTGGTAAATCTGAGATAGTGAGACTGCCTGTTTCAGGTTTGCATGTGAAAAGGTCTTTAGTCAGCAGAATGCCCTTCTTTGCCTGTGATATAATATTGAAATAGGGTAGACGCTGTTAACGATTGCATAGATGGTCTTAAGTTACGAGTGCATGAAAACGGGCCTTGTCAAAGAAGAGAATGACAAATTTTACAAAGAAATCCTGAGTTTTATTTGCTGGTGTTCCCCATACCCATTAACTGTGTAGAAGGAAACTCCACTCTCTCCTAATTCTATGCAGCTTTCTTGAAGGCTTCTCTAACTGTATTTAAAATATGGTCTTCGTGTGTTTGTCTTCCTTTTCCCCCTTTTTTGGGGGGATTCTTTTCCCCAGTATGGTGGTAGTGGAATCGCAGAGTTTTAGTGACTCACCTAAGCGGCAGTGAATTTTATAAGGGCAAGGTGATGAAAATTCCTGTGTAAGCAAGCCGTTCCTAAATAGCATTCTTTTTCCTTCTGCCTTTTTTTCAAGATCTTATTTTACAAACTGGGGTCCTAGAAGGGCTTTTGTTCAGTATCTCCACACAGGATCCTATAGAAGGCTCTTTAAACTCTTTGTTACTCTTGACACCTGCCCATTAAGACTGTCTTTCAGCAAGATGGCTTTGGAAACACTTTATTTTTTTCCCCCATTCATTTTTCAAATGCTGTAGTTCTAAGTTGCAAAACAGATGTCTTTTCCTAGCAGTGGTGATTTCTCTAGACTAGTGATTTAAACTCGCATGGATTCCACTTAATTATGTTGTATATAATGTTGAGCTAAGCTGATTCTCTCTTGCATGTATATATACATAAGCATCTTTGGGAAGAACATATGCAGCCAGGCTTGACAGTTTGCTTGTGAGGGAGTAGTCATTCACTTGATATTGCTACTTTTGTTTTTTCTGCCAAGGAATTTATTGAAATTGCATAGACAACCAACAACCATGATGAGCACATTTTCCTACCTCCCAGTCTTGTTCTGCACATATACTTGAACTGATTTTCTGTTAGCTTATTTTCTCATTTTTTGACTGGTATAATTTGAGCCCCTTTTAAAATAATATCTATTTAACCTTCAGTGACTTAAGCTATTGTGTTCTGCTTTCTTGCTGGCGTGTAGTAGGTGTGCACATCTCCATGTTCACAAGGGCTTACTACTTTTGTTTAACACATTTTCATTTGTAAATAGCATTATGATAATGAGGTAACCACATAAAGATTGTTTAGAAACAGGAATTATGAGGGTACGGTATGTTTGATAGTATTGGTAGTTACTTTTGGATGAGAAACTTTTTTTTTTTTTTTAGATAGCTTTGAAAACACTGACAGGATACTCATTGACAAAGGGAGCCTATCATGTCTTTTCAATGTAAAACTCTATAAAAAATATTTATATTTGTATATTTTTCCGCCTGGAAAATTGCCAGTGTCTGGTGTCATATACCATAAGCAGACACAATTTTTTTTTTCTGAAACGATTTTAGGTGGAAATGCTTTAGGTTGTCAGTGCAGCAACCTGAAGTTGCAGCTGCAATCTTGCACGTGCTGTAGAGATGGAACATTTGTTGTCACCTGGTATTGCCAGTTTAATGATTCTTATAAATCCTCTGGAAAATGGTCCGCAGAAGTTTAGGAATTCTTACTTTTCTGGACAAAAAACCCTCTTCCCTCCCCGAAATAATAATTTTATATATATATATATAAATGACCCAACTAAATATTGTTTTTTAAAGAAGTATTGGAATATTGAAATGATTGGCTAGAACTTTTTAAATATGAATTGTAGTCCTTGTATGTGGAATGATATTTTAATAAAGCAGTTTTTTTGGATGACTTAAAACCGAGCGACAGTTTCTTAACATATTCTAAGGTATTTAGGTGTAAGAACAAGATTTTAACATAAATAGAAATTTGGAATATGTTGCTGCAAACCTCTTAGGGTTTTACGTGCAGATTTTTAATAGAAAGGTAATATGTATTTAGCATTGTGAATTAAATTATGTATTGAATTGTATTTCTGAATATGTATTTCTTGTACCTAGGTCATCACAAATTTAGTGAAAATGTTGAAATCTAGAGATACAAGGAGAAACTTCTGCCCACCAAATCACTGGCTGTCAGAACAGGAAAACATAAAAGCAGATAAGGTAAAAGTAATATTCTTTCTTATGTAGACTTTCTGGTGCTGAAGCTTAAATAGTAAATTGTTTGATTTATGACAATATCTACCTTTGATATGAAGTTTACATTTATGATAAGGTGTTAAAGTCACGCCTATCAAGAAACTTTTAGATTAAATCACATAACGTATCCAGAAAGCAAACCTGTGCTCTACTTTGCAACAATGTAGTTGTTCTCTGGTTATAGTAAAAGAGAATAGAAAACACTGTTTTTACACATTATAGTGTCTTCTTTTCTAGTTATTTTGAGCACTCAAAATTACTAAATGAAAGAATTATTTTGTAGCGGGGAAAAAAAAACTTTCAAAAATCTCTTTCCAAAAAAAATGAAATTTAGTAACAAAAACTATTGGACTTCACAGTTAATGTATGTACTTAGTACATAATTAGACAGTGTTTAACTGTAAAATGCTTTTAATAAATTAGGTTACCCAGCTGTATGTGCCATCCGCTAGACATGTCTGGAGAGTCAGAAGAATGGGAAGAATAGGACCTCTGCAGTCTACCTTGGATGGTAAGATAATATCTCTGCAGTTTTTGTTTTGTGATGTAAAAATAATTCTCTGGCTTACGACTTTATTTGAAATCTGACTTTTTGGAGTACAGTTGAATAGTTTCTTTTAAAGTCCTAAATGAAGCAATCTGTCATAATTTTGTGCTCAGTTATTTTCAAAAAAACACACATTGTATGCTTATACCTGCGTGTGTGTGCGCATGCTTTCTCTAATGTATGACGGGTTTTTTTTATTTTCTTCTGGGAGGAAAGCAAGGCAGTACTGCATAACTTTCCCCAGAACTGAAAGAAGTGAAATAATGAGGTGTGCAAATAATATGTACTAAAAATATCTGTATGAATATATAAAAAATACAGTTGCATAAGATATAAAATGCATAAAGGTGCATAGTTCATAAAATACTGAGGTTTTACTTTCACGGTATATTGTGAAGAAACTTCCTTATTATATATTAAGCAGTAATAAACAAGCTTGTAAGTAATTTTGTATGACAATATTTTATTAATATTGTCCCTAATAATTTAAGGCAGAAACTAATCCCCAAGTGTACCCCAGCTCAATGCTAGTTTGCTTTCTTGTACAGATAGCCTAATTCTTCCTGCTTTTCAGACCTCTGCATCTTCATGTCTTAGAATTTTACCTTGCTCATTTCACCTGAGTAAAATAATCATTAAAACTCTCATCCCTGTGAAAGAACAAATTAATCTATGAGAGTCCATGCTCTCTCTGAAGATGTACCTTGAGTATCTGAGATCTACTGAATCTACTGAGATTGAGTAGATTTTGCACGTAAGATTAGAGTCTGCGGGCGTTATTTTAATGATAAATGTTATTTACATAACTGTGATGGTGTAAGACTACTGGTCTGTTCAGCAGGTAACAACATACTGCTCTGGGGTAAGTACTACTTAGAATTTTCAATCAAATCTTTTTAGTTTACCTCTGGAAATTGTCTATTTGGAGTTACTGAGAGGGTGAAATCTTGAAAACAGAAGTTTTAGGAAAAAAATGAGGGCTAATTTTGTCAGATGCCTATAGGTTTGCAGCCTGTGTCTCCTACAGGGCGCATGGCAGTACCTGCAGTCCCTCGCATTGACCTTGCTGCCTCCCAGCTGCTTTCTTGTCTTGCTGTCGCCCATCGACAGCGCCCCGTGGTCAGACCTGTTGCACGTTTCATCACTCCCAGTTTCTCCCCACGATACTAGTCTGCTGGTCCCCTGCCCTTCATACACAGGGGATCCTCAGTGCTCTCCTTGCCTCCTTTTCCATAAGAGCACCAATTCCCTCTCTTCCATATCGTTCCATGACAACCTTTTGGCTGGCAGACAAGCTGACATGCTGAACAGAGCAGATAAGAGCTGAGCTCTCCTTGCTGCTTCTGTCATCAGTCCACTAAAGGAATTTCTCTCCTCCACGCACTTGAAAATGTTCACAGAACTTAGTATTTCTGAATCCCCTCTTCCTCTGTCAGTATTAAAATTGTTTGTCCCAGAGGTGTGTTGGAGGGGAGATGGTGAGGAAGAGTGACACAGCATGTTCATATAAACCTCATTCCCTCAAGAAATGAAGCTTAAAAAAAGGCAGTCACCGTGACTGTGTGAAAACAAGCCCATAACAGCGTGCACGTGACTTGTTCAACCCTCTTGACTCCATATG